ATGAACCCCCCCAGCGCCGCGGGGCTGCCGGCCGCTTGCTCTACTTCAACGTCACGGTGTTCGGGAAGGAGCTGCACCTCCGGCTGAGGCCCAACCGGCGCTTGGTGCCGCTGGGCGCCGTGGCCGAATGGCAGGAGGATTTTGAGGTGCTTTTCCGGGAACCTCTCCAACAGCGGTGCCTTTTCACCGGTGACATCTCCGGCATGCCCGGAGCCGCCGTGGCCATCAGCAACTGTGACGGACTGGTAAGCTCAAGGCCAGCGTGGAGATTCGTGCGCGCTGCCTTGTGTTTTGGGGTGATTTTCTCTTAAGAGGGGGGTCGCGGTGTCCTGAAGCCTGACTTTGTGGTGATGCCAGCCTTAGGTGGCTGCACCGTCCATCTCCCCTTCGCCAGTTGGCCGCCACGGGTCTCCTTTCCTCGTGTGGCTTGTGGCATAAGCAGGGCAGGGTGCCACACGTGCCAGGGCTCTGTCCCTCTGCTATACGTGCAGCGATGCAGCTATGTTTATTTAAAGGGGTTAAAAAAATTGCTTCTCCCCTGTCTGGGCTGCCTCCTGCCCGAGGTGGACCATGTCAGATGCCGTTATGCCCGTGGGCTCTGCCCGGCCTCCAGAAGGGGTACCCACGCTGCTGGTGATGCTGCTGCATCCTTGGTCACCTGTATTTTACCTTGGGACTGCTTCAGGAACTTTGTGTCTGTGTCTCCCGCCTCTTAAATGAGGCTGAGCGAGCTCGAGCATCTCCTGAAGTCACTGCTAGCATGAGGTCTTCCTCTCGCTAAGCATCTTTTTAGGGGAGGCTTTCTTTTTTTTTTCCTTCTTTTTTTTTCCAACCGCTCACGTGCTCAGAGCCTTTTGGCTTTCTGAGCGCAGGGTGAGCGCAGTTCAGCATCAGCAGCTTGCTGCCACAGCGCTTTAATTACTTTAAAAGGCTCCGTTCCCTCCTTAGCCCCGGTGTCTGGTCTGCCTGTGGGTTTCCTACCTTCGATACACTTGAGGAATCGCTTCTTATTTTTTTATACCTTTGGCCCGTTGCCCTTCAAATTTCCTTTGAGCCAATTTAATTCTTGTTTTAGGTGCCAGCATTTGCTGATTTTGCTTGGTACCACTTATGTTACTCCTGGGTTGGAGTAAGACGTCTTATTTTGCTTTTTTTTGGTTATACTTCTTTTCTGGTTGTTTTATTCTGGGAGTTCCTTAGCCAATTTTGGCTGCTAGCACAAGCAATTTGGCATTCCTTTCTTTTTATGCAGCGCCTGGTGTTACTATACAAGCAGAAATGATAGAGCAGCACGGCTAGAAATAAATATTTCACCTACATTTAGTAGTTGGGTTTTTTTTCCAACAATTTTAGCACATAATCCACACCTTTTGAAACATCTTTTTTGGAATCGGCTGAGGCTGTGAATTTGCAGAAATTTCTCCGTGACATGGATTGCGCTAGGGCTGGCAAATTTGGGCAGGCTTGAAAGCTTTAAAGGTATTTCCTATAGCTCCAGGAAGCAACTAGTAGTGCTGTGCCTGGAGTGAAAGCCTGTTCTTTAAGGACACAGGTTGAATTGCAGATAAAATTTCCGTTGGCATCGCGAGTGAAGGGATGCTGGAAGCGGTCAGCAGCTGAGTCCGTGTCCCGCCGCGGCTGGGAAGCAGCGAGGATGGGGTTAGGGGATTTCTCTTTCCTGGACTGCATTCTACTCTTAGGGTCCATCTCAAGTAGGTTTTAGATTAATTTTTCCAGACTTTTCTAGGCTTTAGCCGTGATTTGTCTCATCTCAGCTAGCCCCTTGCAGACTTTCTCCGGTGGGGTTTGTTTTTATTTTTGCCCTTGTTCCAGCCATCCCTTGGCTGCAGTTTACAGCAGCGATGCCCGTTTCAGATGTAGCTTGTACTGTGGATGCTTTTTCACGTGGATTTCTGCAGCCGTACCTGTCCTGCCATCCGTGGTACCCCCAAGCCCACTGTTTTAACCTCGTGTAAAGGCAGAAGTGGCTCTTCCCCCAGGATCAGCAGCTCAGGGCGCTTGCTTCATCCCTCTTTACCTGCATGAACCCCCGCTGCAGCCAACTCGGCGGGGGCTTTGATCTGCTGGGTGGGGTGGGATTACCTGAGCCATGTTATGCTGATGCTCAGGTGTTCGGGGGTTTGCAAACGCCCAGGGCTTCTGCAGGGTGGTTTTGGTGCACCCCCATTTCCAAAGCTGCCCTGGGACACGGTGTTAGCATTGTGGTTGGTGATGTGTTGTCTCGCAGATGTTTTATTTCTTCATGTAGAGCTCTAGCAGCACTAGGGAAGAGAAAACACCCCCCCCCTTTTTTTTTTTTTTTCTTCCTGCAATGTATTTATTGCTCCATGGCCAACAAATAAATGCCCTGGCCTCAAGCAGCAATTTCCCATCATCCGGTGAAGCACATGTGGTGATTACAGGCTGGGGGGAAGAGGTCAGGAGGACAGAGCCCGAGCAGGGGCTCTGCTCCTCCCCCCATAAAGAGGATTTTGTGATATGGCCAACGTAGCAGTTGGTTTCTCTCTTTCATGGGCTTGCTGCTGGTGTAGATTGCTGTATGGTCCTCTGGCTTAAGTAAGTCTGACATCTTATATATGCCCTCTGGAGGAGCTGTGAGACCAAGAGGAGCAAAAAAAAAAAACAAAACCCAGAAAGCAGTAAGAAGAGCTTGATGTAGTAAATGGAACAAGAAACAGAACCGGAACGTGGCAGTAGGTGAGGATGGGATGGGAGGATGGTGTTTATGACCACGCTGTACCTCCAGCGTGAGCTGGCAGAGAAGCAGCAGAGCATCCTGGGGGATGTACACGGCCAGGACCGTTGTTAATGTCCTGCTAGATGGGCACTGCCTTAATGTGGGGAGCACCGGCTGGAGGTGGATTTGTTGCTCTTTGATATGCACGTACCCTGGAATTGTGGTGGACTTTTGCTGGAAGTTATCCGCAAGGTTCAAAAGGGGATTGTGGCTTTTGCATCCCAGTATAGCGTGCGTGGGAGGCGCAGGACTGCGCTTGGCCGCTCCTTTCTGGTCAGAGGAAGCGTTCTGGGATGCTGCAGATGAAGGTTGTGTACACAAAGAGATATGCTATGTATAAACAGAGACTGAGATTATAAATAATAAGAAAAAAAACCCCAGTTCTTGAAAAAGAGAGTACACATCAAGTCTTTCCTAAATCCATATTTAGCCATGTAAGTGAGCTGATTTTTTTTCACAGATGCTAAATCCAATGCTTTTTTTTTTTTTTTTTTTTGCAAGGGTTTCTTGTACCAGAGTGGGAAGATGCTGTAGTCCATAACATAATGTCAAAGCTGATCCAAGCCACCAAATTCCTAACTGGTAAAGTAGCATTAGGCAGAAATCTCCCTAAATCTCCCCAGGCAGACACATCTTGCTGCAGTGAAGGCATCCCATGTTTCCACACAGGCTTTAGTAGCATGTGATTGTCCTTGCTTTGCTGGTTGCAGAGATGGGTGAAGAATTACCATCTGTAGGCACTGTATTTGCTTTTCATGGCTGACTTTTTCCCCACTGCTCTCCGGGTTTGTTTGCACCAAACACCAATGTGCTGCAAAGTGTAGAGCCAGCGTTTTCCATCCCTGTCGCCCTGGCTTGCTTTGGATGTGTGGCAGTGGATAAGCAGAGCACAAAAGCCCTCAGGAGCGGTAATTAATAGGGAACGAAGGGAGAAACAGTCCCCGTAACGATGTCCCTGTGCAAAAACTATGGATTTGTCTTCCAGGATTTTCCTTGCAGCTCCTGAACTGTAGGGTTAATTTCGGGAAGAAAAAAGGTGCTGGTTTAAATGTACAGCGAGTGAGATGTCTCAAGATGTTGCTCTTGATGGGAGTGAAGCAAATGTGTTTGATTGTGGCATTTTCTTCACCAGGTTCACTGGTGGAAAGCTCTCTCTGCATCCTGCTTAGCATCTTGCCCAGTCGCGTGCCTGGTAAAGAGCATGGAGTCAAAGTCTCAGTGGTTAATTATCTCCCTTATTTCTGTGTTCCCCCGTGATGCCAGAGAGTTTGTACCCAAACAGTGGCTGAGCGCCTCTGGGCTGTGCCCTGGTGCCACACACACCATGCTGCTGCCCGGTGTGGTCCTGCTCTGCGCAGGGCAGAGGCATCCCTCTGCAGATCCCCCCAGCGCCTTCACCGGACAATCTCCAGATGAAAGGAGAGTGGTGGCTGGCGACGGTGCCTGCCTTCACACAGCCTGGATTTCTGGGACTTTTTGTCCAAATTAAGTGTGACTCGTGTAGGAAAAATACATACTATGCACGCAGCTGGATTCCCCCCTCCTCGGCGCTGTTTGCTTCTCTGGCTGAGCAGAGTGGCTTTATTAATTTTTGCACGTTTCAGCTGTGTTGAAGTGCCACAATTTCCTGAATTCCCATGGGAGTTGGAGCTTTTTACCCAGTGGCGTTGGAGGAGTCGCTTACCCGGGGTGCGGGGGTTGGATTTGGGTTCAGTGGGAAATTGGGGGAGATGGAGGCTGGGCGAGAAATAGTTGGCGTGCTTGGCGTGCGAGGGGCACGTCAGCCCGAGTTTATTCTGCTACGTTTGACGCGCCCGGTTAAAACTACAAAGCGGAGCTGCGTCGGGAGGGAAGAGCAGCTGTCGGGCTTCTGTCTCTTATACACA